GAGGCCCTGGGTTTGATTCCTCAGCACCACATAAGCAGAAAAAGCTGGAAGTGGTGCTGTAGCTCAAGTGGTAGAGTGCTCACCTTGAGCTGAAGAGCTGAGGGACAGTGCCCAGGCCCAGAGTTCTAGCCCATGACCAACAAAAAAAAAAAAGAAAAGAAAGAAAGAAAACAAGGCTATTGAAATTTTTCATGTTCTTTTTAGTACTACTCAATATTGGGAGAATGAACAAGATTTCAATAATAAACAGGAGAAAATTGTGTATAAAAAACTGTATTTAGAAACACTTTTAGCATTATAAATTTGGTTAAGAAAACCACAAGTATAGGGGCTGGGAATGTGGCTTAGTTGTAGAGTGCCTCCCTAGCATTCATGAAGCCCTGGGTTCGATTTCTCAGTATCACATAAACAGAACAAGCTGCAAGTGGTGCTGTGGCTTAAGTTGGTAGAGTGCTAGCCTTGAGCCAAAGAAGCTCAGGGACAGTGCCCAGCTCTGAGTTCAAGCCCCAGAACCGGCAAAAAAAAAAAAAAAAAGAAAGAAAGAAAAGGAAAGGAAAAAGAAAAAGCACTTGCCTACCACATATAGGCCCTGGGTTCAATCACCAGCAGTGGGAGAAAAAAAAAAAGAATTGGACAGCAGTATGCCAGTGCCTAAAGCCTGTTATCTTTTTTTTTTTTGTCAGGTGTCGGGCTTGAACTCTGGGCCTCAGCTCTTCAGTCAAGGCTAGTGCTCTACCACTTGAGCCACAGCACCACTTCTGGTTTTCTGGTGGTTTATTGGAGATAAGAGTCTCATGGACTTTTGTGCCCAGGCTGGCTTTGAACAATGATGCTCAGATCTCAGCCTCCTAAATCGCTAGGATCACAGGCATAAGCCACTGGCTCCTGGCTCTTTTTGTTCTTTGTTTTTTTTTAGGGTTTTTTTTTTTTTTTTTTCGGTTGTGGGCCTGAATTCTGGGCCTGGGCACTGTCCATCAGCTCTTCAGCTCAAGGTTAGCCCTCTACCACTTAAGCCACAGCGCCACTTCTGGCTTTTTCGCTTATGTGGTACTGAGGAATCGAACCCAGGGCCTCATGCATGCAAGGCAAGCACTCTACCACTGAGCCATCTTCCCAGCCCTCCTGGCTCTTTTTTATTTTTTTCTTTAAAGCCACATTCCCAATTTCTTACAAATTCATTAGTTTGTAAGAAAGTAACCATTTTTCCCTTACCCATTTTAATATTATACATAAACCTATCAAAAATAGTATTTTATAGAAAAATTTTTACCTACCTTCCCAAACCAGGTGATGGTGCTTGAGAATTATTATAAGAATTCTGTAGGAAAAAAAATGTACTTAAATATTTAAAAGAAAACAATCACTACTTACAAAGTATGAAATATATTAAACAATTTGGACTAGATCTTGATTTTATGCTTTATAAATTTAAGAACCAAAATGCATGTGTGTATGTGTGTGTATGTAAATGCACAAAAGTTATTAGGTGAGTGCAGGTATGCTCTAGAAGACTTCACAGAAGACACAAGGAAGCAATGAGTAACACTGAGTCATTGATAAAGGGGAGAGGACAGGAATGACTCATACTATGTATAAAATGACAGAAGAGAAGAGTATATATGACCCATATAGGCTGACTAAGACAGAGGTGTAACAAGAAATAAAAGTCCCTTGTAAGCCAGGAATAAGCATTGTGGACCTGATCCTATAGACAGATTGAGTTACTGAGAGGTGTTAAGTCATAAGTGGAGCAAGATTTTAGGAAACAAGTATAGAGTGAGAGGAAATAATGGCTCTATGGTACAGAACTTGCCTAGTATAGGGGTCAAGGAGGAGAAAAGAAAGAAGGCAGAGGAAGAAGAGGACGATAGAAGAGGAGGAGAATCTGGAGGTCAAAAGATATAAATATGGCAGCTTCGTATAGCTAAATATGTGCTACAATCAGGTATATATGTATTTAAAAACTTTACCAAGAAACTTCAAATCTATTTGAGGGTTCTCAAATAACAGTTCCTCTCCTGCTGCGTTTTACCTAAATGACAGCATGTCTATGGTAGGGATGGGATGCTATTATAAATTTTGTTTCTTAAGAAATGGAGCCCTTCTTTTCCATACTTACTTTTAGGTGCTCTGTCAGTGTTTTTGAGTACTTGAGAGCATTTTCCTTCTTCAGTTTGAATAATCTTAGGTACAGCAAAGACTGGCATCTCAGGCTAGCCAACAGAAAAGGAGAGTTGTATTTACCAGGAAGCAGATTAACCTATCTGCACTGAAAGGCTAGTATTATTGCAAGATAGTACAGGACTAGCTCAAGGGAGTGATCAGCAATACTAACCCTTAGGCAAACTCAAAGGTCTGTATGCACAGTAGGAAGGGAAGGTGTCAATGAAACCTGGGACTAGCTTCACAGTGCATGATGATATTCAAAAACCAAAACTTTATCCCAAGGGCACCAACATGTCATAGTAACATATTTATTTAAAAATTGCTAAGTAAGCGGGGTGCCAGTGGCTCACACCTGTAATCACAGCTATTCAGAAGGCTGAGATTTGAGGTCTGCAGCCAGCCCAGGCAGAAAAGTGAGACACTTATCTCCAATGAATTATTCAACCAGAAGTAGCATTGTGGCTCACGTGGTGGAGCACTAGCCTTGAGCAAAAGAGCTCAGGGCCCTGAGTTCAAGCCCCAAAACTGACCAAAAAAAATTGCTAATAAGCTGGACAATGTTAGCTCAAGCTTATAATCCTAGCTACTTAGGAGACTGAGATCTAAGGATTGTGGTTCAAAGCCAGTCTGAGAAAGTCTGTGAGACTCTTATTTCCAATAAACTACTAAGAAAATGCCAGAAGTAGTGCTGTGGCTCAAGTGGTAGAGCAATAGCCTTGAGCAAAAGAAGCTCAGGGACAGGGCCCAGGTCCTGAGTTTAAGCCCCAGGACTGGCAAAAAAAAAAATTAAATTAAAAGATAAAATTAGGAAACTAAGCCTCGAGCTGGTGGCTCATGCCTGTAATCCTAGCTACTTTCGAGGCTGAGATCTGAGTATCGTGGTTCAAAGCCAGCCAGGGCAAGAAAGTCCATGAGACTCTTATCTCCAATAAACCACCAGAAAACCAGAAGTGGCGCTGTGGCTCAAGTGGTAGAGCACTTGCCCTGAGTTGAAGAGCTGAGGGACAGCACCCAGGCCCAGAGTTCAAGCCCATGACTGACAAAAAAAAAAAAAAGGAAAATAAACTATGAAGATTACAACTTGAACGGAATCTGACCTATATAAAATAGGCTCTACATCATTACCACACCACCACCACCATCAGCAACAGCAGCAACGTCCCTGCCTGCTTAACCAGTATTGACCACTTCTCCCTGATACTCTTTTTTAAGCTCCTTGAAAGTTTCTTATTCCTTCTACTATTTAGCGCGCGCCCGCGTGTGTGTGTCCTTCTACTTAAAATAAGTAAGTTTCCCTATCCTTTATTCCTTGACCTACATCTTTATTCCTGGCTTTTGCCTAGGCTGGCTCTGAATCTCAATCTTCAGATCTCAGCCTCATGAGTAGCTAGGATTACAGTCTTGATTACAGGCTCTCTCTACTTGTAATATCCTTACATACACTTTTCTTTCAAAGTACTGAATTCATATTGTTGTACAATTTTTTTTCCTTTCATACTGGGACTTTAACTCAGGGTCTGGGCACTATCCTTTAGCTTTTTTTTTTTTTTTTTTTTGTCGGTCATGGGGATTGAACTCTGGGCCTGGGCACTGTCCCTCAGCTCTTCAGCTCAAGGCTAGCGTGCTACCACTTAAGCCACAGTGCTACTTCTGGTTTTCTGGTGATTTATTGGAGATAAGAGTCTCATAGACTTTCCTGCTGGGCTCCCTTAAACTGATATCCTCAGATCTCAGCCTCCTAAGTAGCTAGGATTACAGGTGAGAGCCACTGGTACCCAGCTCCTGTATTTTTTGTTTAAGGCTGGAGGCTCTACCACTTGAACCACAGATTCACCTCCAAGTTGTACAATTTTTGATGAATTTCTGTCCCCCAACACTAGATTATCAACTTCATAATGAATAGATCCATAGCAGATTTATTCATAGCTGAATTCTCAGTGTTAAACACAATGCCAGGTAAAGAACTAGTAAACTGATGATACTTCCCTACAACAAAGCAAATAAATTATATTCCTTACTGTCCTAAGGAAAAGGATATATGTGACTGGAGAGCTATAAAAAGAGCCAAAAGGGGCTGGGAAGGTGGCTCAGTGGTAGAGCATTTGCCTTGCATGCCGGAGGCCCTGGGTTTGATTCCTCAGCACCACATAAGCAAAAAGAAAAAGCCTGAAGTGGCGCTGTGGCTCAAGTGGTAGAGCGCTAGCCTTGAGCTGAAGAGCTGAGGGACAGCGCCCAGGCCCAGAGTTCAGGTCCCACGACTGGACCCAAAAAAGAGCCAAAAATAGGTGGCTAATTAACTCAATGTTAGTGCCCAGTATCAGTCACATGTGACCAAGAAGGCAAGGGATCAGACACTGACAACTACTAAAATCTTGCAGTAGGCATTTGGAGTTATTTCCTGCTTCACCCTTAAGAACATGTTTGTGAAAAGTCATTATCTCTAACATTCTCAAGATCATAGAGCATAATTTATCAAGGAACTGCCCATTATCTAGCAAAGGCTATAATACTCATCACTTACCAAAGCACTGTGAGTCTTTTATCTGCAGCTGTAGCATCAGGAGCCAAATAATTCTTTAACTTCATAGTGTATCTGTGAATTAAGAGAACAAATGACAGGTAGATTAGAGTATTTCACCTTAATCTTACAGCTTCTTTTGTCCTCAAAGCTTTAGAATCAAACCTAAATAAAACCAAAAACCTGTCCAAGGAAAATGAAAAACAAAACATTAGCAATCTCCTTTGGTTTACTGTATCTGGTTTTATCAGCTTCCTCCAAGATGGACCAGAGAAATTATGGTATTGTCAATGATGTGGCAAATTTTCCCACTTACTTGATGAGCTCCACTGTGTCTGAATACATAGGGAATGGAGATTTCGATTCCTGAGCGTTCTTCTCTAAGGCATTCCCACATTCAATGAAAGATACCACAGCATCCAGATAGTATACTGCTTTCTCAAACCTATCAGACTAAAGAAGGGAGAATGAAAGTACTGAATAATAATCTAATATAAAATTACAAAGGGATATTTAAACTAATTTGATTAAATACACAAATGTAAGGAGATTACATACCAATGCATCTGCATTGTGCTTTAGCTTTTTTGCTTCTTGTAAATAATGGTCTGCTGAATAATTTCTGCAATGTAAATTTTCACTATAAATATAATGGCAAATTATTTTCATAAGATAATTCCGGTTCATTTTAGTCTCCCCTAGTTCTCACATTCTCAAAACAAGCTATTATCAAACATTTCAATTCTTTTCTGACAAATGTTTATGTTGGATTAAGAACACTGAATTGTCTTGGCCAACTCATGGCCTTCACAGAATCAGCTCCCTGGTGTTAAAGACTAATGTAAGTTGTTTTAAAGATTTCAAGTAAGAAATACATAACTTTTTATCAGATGCAAAAGAACCCCAACATTGCTCTACTTTATTACACCTACTACAAACAGTAATATTAGCAGCAATAACAGTTTCTCAGAAGGACAACCATTAGCATCCTCCAGCGAAGATAGCAAGCTCAGTTAAAGGAATAAACAGTTGGATGAGTGGTTGTTTTAAAATTAAAATCTGAATATGCTATATATTATACACAAATATGAATCCCCTTAGTTAGTGACAGAAATTAAAATGAGTTTTTTTAAGGACTGATTGCTAAATGGCACACAGAAGCATCATATTCATCTTACCTGTCATCAAAGACAAGCTTTGTTCTCCGAGGCTTAGAAGCCTCAGGAGTTGGTGTAGTTGTAGGGCAGTTAGAGGAGCTATTTGGAGCCTTTTCCTGATAATTAAAATAAAAATAATAAGTAAATAAGGTATTTCTTCAGTCACTGTAAAAATGAAAACAAAGCTTCTCTGCTCTGAGTAATTAATCTATGATAAAACTTTAGTAGAATAAGTCAATTTTATGTAAACAAAATACTAAATTTCCTTATTTACTGAGGACTTACTTCATGGCAGGCACTTGGACTATGCATTTGTTAAAATGTGGAGAAATGGGTGCTGGTAGCTCATGCCTGTAATCCCAACTACTCAGGAGGCTGAGATACTGAGCACTGTGGTTTGAAATCCCTGAGATTCTTTTTTTTTTTTTTTGGGTCCGGTCGTGGGGCTTGAACTCTGGGCCTGGGCGCTGTCCCTCAGCTCTTCAGCTCAAGGCTAGCACTCTACCACTTGAGCCACAGTGCCCACTTCCAGCTTTTTAATTTTTGCTTATGTGGTACTGAGGAATCGAACCCAGGGCCTTGAGCATGCAAGGCAAACGCTCTACCACTGAGCCACCTTCCCAGCCCAATCCTTGAGATTCTTATCACCAATTAACCACCAAAAGATCAAAGGTGGAGCCTTGGTTCAAATGGTAGAGCATTAGCCTTGAGCAAAAAGCACAGGGACAGTGCTCCAACCTTGAGTACAAGCTCCAGGACTAGCACAAAAAATAAACAAAACATAAAACATAAACCTAGTATCAACACGGTAGTACTACTTCAAAGCCAGCCTGGGCAGGAAAGTCTATGAGACTCTTATCTCCAAAACTGGAAGTGGGGCTGTGGCTCAAGTGGTTGAGGGCTAGTCGTGAGTTGAAGAACTCAGGGATAGCCCCCAGGCCCAGAGTTCAAGCCTCACGACTGACCAAAAACAAAAAACAAACAAAAACAGAACTATCTCTGGATAGGGAGTACTCTTCTGGGACCCAAGGGCCAAACTCCCTACAGCACTATTGCTCTTGGGACTCAGGGGAGCACCATGTGTGCTCAGAGACAAAGACAAATCATTCTAGTTCCAAGACTTTGCGTCACGCCTCAGGGGGAACACTAGTTTTCAGCTTCTTCCTTGTTTTCTAAGACAATGCCCAAGTCTTTGATGTGGGAATTTTTATGCAGTATAGCCATGAATTTCGGTTGCTTGAGCTAACCCAATCTGTGGTGGTTTGTTGTGGCAGCACTGGGAAATGAATACTAAAATGAGTTATAAACACAATTACTAAAAATGCTGAGTTTCAAATTTCATCAGCAAAGCTCTGAAGCTTTGTTCTTTCCATACTCATTGCTGCCTGCTTCTTTTTGTTTATATCAGTAGAGGTGCTTATATTCAGGGTCTAGCACTGTTCCTCAGACTTTTCATTCACAGCTGGTACTCTACCACTTTGGCCACACCTCTAGTAATAGCTTTTTTTTTTGGTTAGTAGTGGGGCTTGAACTTAGAGCCGGGGCATTGTCCCTGAGCTTTTTTATTCAAGACTAGCACTCTACCTACCACTTTGAGTCAAGAGCCACTTCCAGTTTTCTGGTGGTTAATTGGAGATAAGAGTCTCATGGACTTTCCCCCTGGATGGCTTTGAACTGCGATGCTCACATCTCAGCTACCTGAGTAGCTAGGATTACAGGTGTGAGCCACTAGTGCCTTGCTAGTTCACTGAAGAGTCTTGTGGATTTGTCTGCCTTGACTAGCTTCGAATGTTGATTCTCACATTTTAGCCTCTTGAATAGCTATGGTTATATGCATGAATTAAATGAGCATTTATTACCTGTTATGGTGTGACGAATGGTACATGCAAATGATCTGATACTGGGTGAAGTAAATAAACTGCTAGGTACAAGACAGCTAACCCTTCAAGCTCCTATTAACTTCAGACTTTGTTTAAACTCTACTTCCTTCTGGAAAAATTCATATTAAGATGCACATATGCCTTTTAAGGTTTCCTACGGGTTCTGTTTATTTCTATCATGATTCTTATCAAAATTTTGAATTGTTTAGATAGAAACTGATATTTTAGATTCCAAAGACTGTAAGACAATTTTCATTTTGTTATTTTTGTCATTTTAAACTTCAAATTCCAATACCACTGACAGAGGGGGGAAAATGCAGACTGCTTCTTTTTACAAGCAAGCAAGAGATCTCATATCCTGCAGCTAAAGGATGGGAAATGGACAGCCCATATGCAAGCAGGTGGAGAGCTACAGCAGTGAAGGAGGCCAACAGATAGCAGGTAAACTCTCCAGACTAATACAGAGCTGGGTGTTCAGTTGGACAGAAAACCTGCACAGTTCAATTTCAGAAGTTCAATTTCAATGACCTCAACTTAAGAATTTTTGTTACACAGTAAATACACTGCAGTCTAATCTTTCAACTCAAACTTTTGCTTACTTAAACCCTAGGTAATAATCCAGTGGATTATAAAATTAATATTTTAGGTATTTTCTTAATTTTCTCTGATTTTAGTAAGCTTCTGATCAGAACACTTGAAAAGTAAACAAACAACCTGGTAAACAGAGTGAAGACCTTTTACAGCACAGCCTTGAAAAAGCTTCTTGGATCCAAGCGAATAACATTTAAATACATTATGAATATGTTAATAATAATGAAGATTATTTCGGTGACAACTCAGCTATTTTTTCTTTTCTTTTTTTTTTTTGCTTCTGTGGTGCTGAGGAATCGAACCCAGGGCCTCAGGCATGCAAGGCAAGCGCTCTACCACTGAGCCACCTTCCCAGCCCTCAGCTATTTTTTCTATTTCATAAACCAAAGCCAAATGATTGTCTTGTCACTTTATGTGGTATATTAACTAGAAAGTCTAATGCCAAGAAACCCAAATTGTATTTCAAACCAGTCTAGAATGCAAATTTTAGCACTGCCATCTTTTTGTGCTTATTTAAAAAACATCTATGAACAATTCTAATAAGCATGTGGCCAAACTGGTCTATCGCTTCCATCATCTGAAATCACTGAAGTCTATCATCAATATCCCAGAGTAAAATGCCCAAAGACTACTGATTTAATGGGAAGTTTTCAAAAATTTCAAAGCATATATATTGTCACCCTGAGGAGATAGCAAGGCAATGAGTGTGATTTTCAGGGTTGGAAGTGTGGTTCAGGTAGTGGAGAGCCAGCCAGTGAATAAAGCATCAGAGTCCCATTCTCAGAATAAAAACAAAGATCATTTTCAGAAGCTTAGTCCTCAACACCATACCTTAGCTTCCTTAGAACTACTGGAAGTCTTCCCTTCAGTCTTTTTCTGTTTTGATGCGGAGGAATTGCTTTTGCTGCTGCTACTATTTTCCTTGTTGCTATTACTGCTTGACTTTAAGGAAGAAGACTGGCTAATAGTCCTCTTCCGAGAGCTATGCTCCGTTTTTGACTCTTTTGAAGGAATAGGCCCAGCAGGTGAAGGTAACAAGTCCTTTTCTTTTGCAGCACTCTGCTTAGATGATCTGCCAAACAAAGCAAACAAAATCATTTTCTGGGGTGCAGGGGTGATATATTTTTCCATTTTTCTTTGCCTGCTTTCAAGACAAATTTAGCCCCAACCCCCATCTGATTACTAAGATATGTTGTTACAACGTATGAGACTGTAAATTCTATGAGATGAGCTTCTTTGTCTTTTTTCCTCTCCCTATTCCCTTAATCTTTGTCTTTATTCAATAGTATATACAGTGCCTAAAACATGACTTAGCAAATAGTAAGTACTTAATAAATGATAGGTGGATGATGAATGAGTAAATAGGTATTTTGGAAAAATATTAATGCTCTAAGTTAGCAACTGGTCTTTTCAAATTTTATAAAGCTTGCCATCTACATCTACCCGGAAAGTAACTTTTTTTTTTTCTTTAACTTTTACATCAATTTTATTCTCTGAGTGAAGCTGTATGAGTTAAAGAATCCCCACATTGCCGGGTGCTGGTGGCTCACACCTGTAATCCTAGCTACTCAGGAGGCTGAGATCTGAGGACTGTGATTCAAAGCCAGCCCTGGGAAGGAAAGTCCGTGAAACTCCAATAAACCACCAGAAAACCAGAAGTGGCACTGTGGCTTCAGTGATAAGAGCGCTCGCCTTGAGCTGAAGAGCTGAGGGACAGCGCCCAGGTCGAGTTCAAGCCCTACAACTGCCAAAAAAAAAAGAAAAAGAAAAAAGAATCCCCACATTACCAACTATTGTAGTAATCATATTCCTTCTTTTTTCTTCTTTTTCTCATCTTGGGGCTTGAACTCTGAGCCTGGGTGCTGTCCCCGTGCTCTTCAGTTCAAGGTGAGTGCTCTACCACTTGAGCCACAGCGCCATTTTGTTTTCTAGTGGTTCGCTGGAGATCAGTCTCACAGACTTTCCTGCCTGGTCTGCCTCTGAAATGCTATTCTCAGATCTCAGCCTCCTGAGTAGCTAGGAAGACAGGTGTGAGCCACTGGCGCCTGGCTAATATTCCTTTTTACATGTACAACATTTCATACTCAACAATGAGTTCTGAGTTGCAAAAGAGGATTTACTGTTTGCACTTGTCTTAAGTCTTTGTTACAAATTAAACAAAGACATACACACCAGTGATACAAAAGTAACAACTCTTTTACTCCATACTCACCCTTACTCCATGAAAAACAAAGTGAGAAAAAGCAGCTGAATGTTAAATGCTTTCAATCCCTATAAATTAAAATAAAAAACTCCCACTGTTTAGTATATGTATGTTGTGAATATATATCAAAATCGATTACTAATAAAAGGAACACTATAAAATGTCCTTAAAAAGTACCCAGTGATCCACAAAGGTTAAAACTGACATGGAAAATGTTTGGGGGACATACTCTCTGCTGCTGGGCGTCTTGTGGCTGGATGAATTCTTGTCTTCTGTTTTGGGTTTTTTGCTCTCATTGGCTCGGCTATCATCTTCATTCTGGACAAAAAACCGAAAACAGCAGATACTATGTCTGATTTTTTTTTCCCCATCTAACCAGCTTTTACCACTAGAAATCCCCAAACAGTTGATCCCTGATAAAATCTCATATAGAAGGTGAGAAGTGGACAATTTAAATAATGTATAATAAATAAGGTCTTAAGTCTGAGAAAGGTTGATTATTTTAAATACACAGAACCCAAATGCTGAAACAGATTTCCTATGGTGTTGCACAATATCTTCTGTACATAATGGTTTTGGAAGAGGAGGTATCCACAAATTACAAACAAGATTTAATCCATATACGGTAAACTCCACTCTTGAAAGGTACAAAAATTCTTTTTTTTTTTTTTT